ATATAAGATAAGGATGAGCATGATAGGAATAATAGAACTTCCTATTCGTTGTTTTATGTGAAGGTTGTCATTGCACAATAAGTGATTTGATTAAGTTGTATGTTGGTGATTATGTTGTGAGTTGCTAGTTAAAAGTTGAGTTAAATAGTATGTTGTGAAGTTGTGTAGTTGTGTTGAGATTCTGTATGAATAACGATGATGTGTTGTTGAGATGTATGATGAGTAAGAAGTTGTATATGAGTAGTGATGATTGTGTTGTAATATGTGGAGTTGTATGTTGATTTCATTGTTGTGTTGAATATGTAAAAAATTGTTGTGTTGTTAAGCTATGATGACCACTTAGGACTATAGGAGATACTTTTGAAAGTTGCATATCCCATTGCTTGGATATTGTGTTGTGGTGCTCCGAGAGTCTAATTTGTTGAAAAACCCTTATTTGGAAGTTGACAATTGAAGTGGACACTGTGTTGTTTTTCCTCTAGGACTTTGTTGATATCGTGTGTGGGCAAGGTGGAGGTAGACGTGTATGAAGCGATCATAGTATAAGGGCCAGGTCAAGTTATATTGATTGCAAATGACCAATCGAGTAAAGTACGATATCAAGAACTTAGTTCCTAACCAAGTATTGGAAGATTATAGTATTTGGAGGATAGTTGATGGGTTAATCCCATAAGAGACTTAGTTAAGCTAGCTAAAGTCGTAGCAGGCTCATATCTAGTTGTTCTATCCTAACGTTAGTACTACATTTCATTGTTTAAGTGGAAACATCTAAGAAATTAAGTTGTTGTGTTGTAAATTTATATCCAATTTGTTGTTGATCTAGCAAGCCCTAAAAGATCACTCTATGTTGTTGATTTGATAGGATTATGCCACTTAAACTGCTCGTCCTGTGTTGTAAGAGATCTCTTGATTGAAATGTGTGACGATGTATATAGTTATTGTGTTGAGCATATGATGTATCAAGTTGATTGCGTTGTTCATATGTTGTGTTGAACTGTGATGAAATGTGTTGTTATGTTAAATCAAAGTTGGATTATGTTGATCTGTGTTGTATGTTATGATGCTTCGATGCTGTGTTATCAAAGATGAGATGATGATGTGATGTTCCTATGTTGTGTGTGTCTATATATATATATATATATATATATATATGCTATTTCCTTTGTTTTGTCATAGCTTACCCTTATGTTTTTTTATGTGGTTTGTACTATGATAATCATACGTGATATGAGAGCAAACATGGATAAGGTTGGAGTGCTGTAGTAGATGCCATACAGTAGTGTTGGAGCTTGATGTTTTTGATGACTACTTGTTGGTGGTGGATTTATATAGATAGTTATAGTTGTTTGACCATCAACTTAATTGTATATTTCCATACATAAAATTACTATATGTATATTGTATATATTGGAGTAGTTATTTCATCCTTATATATATACAAAATTATACTTATTATAGTATTTGTAATTATATGATCTTAAATTAGTTATTTTTCACTACTAGTAATCATGTTGCTTAGTGTAGAAACTATGATGAATTATTACACTTTAGAATTATTGACTTCTTGATAATAGTTTTTATACTTAAATTTAAATATTTTTAATTAATAACGTAAAAAAAATTCACTCTAATAATGTTATTAAATTAAATTCATACAAGTACCACTTTAATAAGTAGATACCTTGATAAAATAAAATAAAATTCTTTTACTTTTTTCATATACTAAAATTGAAAGATTAAAATTCGAATGAAATGAAAATTCAACTCATTATACATCTTTCTTTAAGTAAATAGTGTATCTAATCACGTGATAATTTTCTCACAAAGAATTCTAATCACAAAAAGTTCTATATAATAATTTTATTAATTTATATAATATAACACTAGTTATTTGAAAATTATACGAATGATAATTTTCTGGCGGCGGAAGCGGATCGGGGAATGGAAGAAGAAGATGAAGAAGAAGAAGTGACTAGGGTTTTGAGGTGAGAAGAGAGAAGCCTCCGGAACATGGTTACCGAATCAGAAGATTGGAAATAGAGTTACTGTCCCTGCTTCTGACTCCTGCCACTCCGTTGAATCAACTTTACACGCTCTTTCTCTCTTTTCTCTTCGGCTATCTTTCGATTGGTGCAAGCTGGAACGCTGAAATCAAATCTTTTATTACTCTTCATTGTTATAATCTAAATTAATTAGTTTAACTGTTAATTAAAAAACCAATTCATTTTTATATTTTTTTAAATATTTGATATATTAAAAATCATTATAAATTAATGAAGAATGTTTTTAAATAAGATAAAATTAATTATATTTTCATCCCTCATTTTATATTTTTTCTTCTTATATTTGAATATGAAAAAAAGTACTATATTTTATTTTAATTTAGGTTTATTAAATTAAAATGGAAAAGAAGGAGAATTTAATTTATATATATTATAATAAATTGTTCAATCCTCTTACCCCTTTAGACTTATTACCCCTACCTGATATTGCTTCTTTTATCCATAAAGAAGGAACATTTAGGGCTGAATTTGTTAAGAACTTGCACGAGAGGGTTAGAAATCATATACAATCCCAAACTGAAAAATACACAAAATACAATAATAAGGGTAGAAAGGAAGTTATCTTCAATGAAGGTGACTGAGTTTGGCTCCACCTCAGGAAGGATAGATTTCCTTCCAAAAGAAAGTCTAAACTTAGTCCTAGAGGGGATGGACCCTTTCAAATCCTTAAGCGAATTAACAATAATGCCTATGTCCTAGATCTTCCCTCTGAGTATGAGGTTAGTTGTAGCTTCAATATATCTGATTTACCTCTTTTTACAGGACTTGCTGACCAAGAGGAGGAATTTTTGGATTTGAGGACAAATCCTTTTCAAGAAGGAGGGGATGATGGAGGAGGCCCATGGGCCAAAGGCCCAACTACTAGGACTATGGCCAAGAGGATACATGAAGCATGGGCCCATGCTCAAGAGAAGCTCATAGTACTCTTTAGTTGGGCTTTGACTCAAGCCCAAGTAGATTAGGTTGTAGTATAGGTTTGGGCCTTTGGGCTTGTATTGTATTTTTGGGCCTTGTATTTCGGCCACCTAAATTAGGAATTTCATTTCATTGCCATGTGAATTTAGGGTTAATCTAGGTTAGCATGTGCATGTTCATTTGCATGTAATTAGTATTCCATTTAGTATGCATTTCGGCCATGTGCACACATGCACTTAGTGTGACCGAAATGATGCTTAAATGAATACCAAATTACATTCAAATGGGAGGCGCACATGTGGTGACTAGATTTGGCACCAAAATTTGAATTTAAACATTCAAATTTTGGCGCCTAAGGTTAGTTAAACCATGGTATGGTTTAACTTAACCTTGGGTTAAGCCAAACTTGTTCACCACACTTTTTTCCCTATATATTCACTTGTGGCCAGATATTGTAGCACTTTTGGATATTATATGAGAATTTTCTTCTTGTGCAAATTCTCCACCGAAAGTCACTTTAAGATCCTCTCTTCTTCTCTACTTGAGCTTCTCTCTTTGTAGAGTTAAGATCATCAATCTTCTAATCGGAATTGGAAGGTTAACCTTGGCTACTCTTGCTCCTTTTCTTAGCTTCAAGTCCTTGCATCCATCTCAAGGATTCGAGAAGGAGTTTTCTTGTGAAATATCATGGAGTTTCCACAATTGAAGACTCCATCAATTGGTTTGTATTGGCTTAAATATTTATTATATAAAATTAAAATTTATAATAAATTATATATATATATATAAATATTTTATTTAAATATAAATTATAATTAAAATTTGTATAAATAAATATTTTTAAATATATAAATTATATTATAATACAACATTTTTATTTATTAATAATTATTT